ACGCATCGACCTGGTATTGCAGTACTTCCGGGAACGGTGCACCTCCCCCCACGGAAAAAAAAAAGAAAAAAAAATACTAAATACCTAAGCATAAATCTAACAAAGATAATGTGACCTCTCCAGGAAAATCATAAAATTTAATTGACATATGAAAGAGACTTTAGGTGTCCATGGATAAGAAGGGTACCAGTTTGCTCCCAACTGGCTTGTAAGATTCAGAGCTAAATAAATTCCAACAGGATTTTAATATAACATGTTAATATGGCTCTAAAAACTTACATGGAAGGGGAAGGAGCTGGGACATTGCTGAAGAAGAGTAGACTAAATTGATAAACAGGGCTTACCTGCAGCTCTAGCTCTGGTAAGACAATGTGATACTGGTGGTATACAGACAGACTGGCCAATGGAGACTAAAGAGCTCAAATAGCTAACTCCTGTTTAGATCTTTGGCATTTGATAGAAATATTCTATAAGATCAATGGGGAAAAGGATTGGAAAAGAAAACAATAGAAAGATACATGTATGGAAAAAGAAATTGGGTTCCTACCTCACATCATATATTTAAAAACATTAGATTAAATGTCAAAAACAAAATTGCCAAATTCTTGGCAGAAAACAGGTATATATTGTTCAGATTGTAGGGCAAGGAAAGATTTCTTAAAAATAAAGCATTGGTTATAAAAGGAAGATTGATAAACTTCTCCATATCAAAATTAAGAACTCTGGTTTATGGAAAGACACCTTTTGAAAGGTGAAAAGATAAGTTAAAAATTGGGTGATGTGAACAGTACTAAGAAAAATGGACAAAGAGCTGAACAAGCATTTCCCAGAAGAGAAAGTACCTATGTCTGGCTAATAATCATATGAAAGGATGTCTGATATCAATGACAAGATAAATGATAAGACCACAGGGAAGTGCTATTTTATATTTGTATGATCGTTTGAGACTACAGGTATTACAGAGGATATGGATCTGCAAGATCACTCATTATTGCTGGTAAAAGTGTGAATTGGTGCTACAACTTTGGACAACAGTTTGGTATTATCATTTGAATTTGAACATTCATGTATCCTGTGATCCAGCAATGTCATTCCTTGATATATATGTAAAAGAGAAACTGTTGACATATATGACTGGGGGCATATAGAAGAAATTCCATAGCACGCTACTGAGAATTAAAAAAACCTGGAAACAGCACAAATGCCCACCAAAGGGAGAGTCAATGAATAAACCAAAGTGTAGTCACACGCTGAAATGTTATGTAATGATCTTAACAAACTACCAACTTGAAACAAAGTGGATGAATCTTAGTAATATAGTATTACATGAAATAAAGTCTCCACAGATTACATTTAAGGAGAAAACTCTTTTTATGAAGTTTAAAATAAAAGGAATACTTTTTAGGAATATAGGAGATGCAGTAACTGAAAAAGCAAGGAAATGAAGAACATGGGATTCAGGATGATGATTACTTCAGATGGGAAGGATAGGGATGGGAGGGGAAGGGAATCATATACATAGTTAGATGTATGTTGTGGCCGTGAGTTTATGGATGCTTGTTGCATTAATAATAAAAACTGAGATTTAAAAGTGGACTATGCATGGACCAAAGATGAAACTGTGTCATTAATGAAAGATTATAGTTGGTCTAATTGAGTTCTTGCTCCCTAACTCTGATCCAAAGAGGCCAGCAAAAGACTTCAATTTCTGACACTCTAGTAGCCATATAAACTGAAAAATACTGCTGCTACAAAACCTAGAAATGCCAGGTAAAATATGACAGGATTTATATGCTTATCCACATAGGCCAAGTGTAAGGGAGAGGAGGCTGGACACCAGAGTGGAAGATGGACAGTGAAGCCACAGCTACCCAGAGAGTGTTAGCCAGAGTTACACCTAAAACTGTGGTGTGACAGGTGCATGGTGAAACAGGCTTTGGGGAGGAAGCTAGAATCAAGGTTCTAGTATAAATCTGATCTCTGATGGGCTACACCCTCAGTCAAAGGTGTTGTAGAAAATAATTCATGGGTGAAGGGAGAGCACAGAAATCTGTCTATCCTGGAATCTGTATGGGAAAGAAAGGCTTCCCTGAAAACTGCAGTCACAGGCCTGTCTTCAGAAGAATTAGATGTTCCTGTTTTCCTGCTTGCTTGGTAACTGTGACTGGAGCATCTTGCAGAAACCATTGCAAATCATTTCCAGAGAGAGACATGCTCAGCAGAATCCTTGCCAGATTCCCACAGATATATCTCAACTGAAGTTGTCAAAATTTAAAAAAACAGAAAAGCCCCTGTGAATGAGAATGGAAAAAAGAAATATCCTCAAAGAACTCCTTTATTAAAAGTAACAGATACAGAATATAAAGTGCTTGAGTAAAAGTAGAACCTGAAAACCCACTATCAAAAGGCCAGGAATATTGTTTAAAGGTTCAAATAGAATATGGAGAAATGAAAAAAAAGCATTACAAAATTAAGAACTTAGATGGATCGAACGGCCATTAGGTGTGGCTAAGGAAAAAATCAAACTTGGAAGACAGTTGAACAGATTACTTAGATTGCATTTCAGACAGCCAAAGACAGAGTATGTTAAGAGACAGAACAGGATGCAGTGAGATCTAAAAGGTTCACTCTGTGATCTAGGAGGAGAGAATAGGGGGAATGATGAAGAGGTGTCAGTGGTGGGTTATTTTTCAAAATCAACAGGAGGCAAAAAGAAGCACGCAGAACAGATCCTGAGGTGGAGAAATGAGATGCCCACATCTACACACACGGCAGTAATGCTCTGGGTGGTGATGCTCCCAGGAGGTCCAGAGAAAAAGCTACTTATGAAGGGGCTGCAGTTTCAGCTTCCCAGCCACAAAAACAAAACCCAGAACAGAGTGAAACAATATCTTCCTTGGGCTAAAAAAAAAAAGGTAACTGATCTAGAATCAAGTGCCCAAGTAACTGAAGAGAAATAAAGACCTTTCAGACAGCCAAGGTGCTTTACCACCACCAATCTTCATGCAGTCAAAATGTGAGCCTTTTCACATTGTTTGGACATTTCTAAGTGTTACATGAGATAGTTCTGGGTAAGACTCTTAGTGATATGAATATTCAGTTTTACTATATTTAAGGTACAGTTTTGAGTAGTTTCTATATGCTAACTCATTAAACCTTATAACACCTATGAGGTAAGTAATGTCCACATTCTATAGATGAGGAAAGTGAGTCAAGAGACTTGTCCACTCCCACAAGCCGGTGTATGGTGGCTGGGGATGTGTGTACAGGTAGCCCGGTTCCACAGTCCCTGCGCCTTTTATTTTTTAATAGTTCAAAACTTTCAGAAAATTCTTCAAGAACAAAAGTAGAAAACATTTGTATATCCTTTACCCATATTCACCAGTTGTTAATGTTTCACTCCATTTGCTTTATCATTTGCTTTCAATTAGCTGCATACTTTTATTTAACCATTTGAGAGTAGACTGCATGCATTGTGGCTCTTTGCCCCTAAATATGTTACAGTATTTCCTAAGAAGAATGATATACTTTTTCCTCACCATAATATTAAAAACATAAGTGAATTTAACGTTGATGCAGGGATGTCCATTGTCCATGACACCACATGAGCCAGGGTTCTCTGAGAGTTTAATTTTCCCCATTCTCCAGATCAAGATCAGGTCTTACATTTAGTTACAGTGCTTCAGTCTCCCTTGATCCAGAACACTTCCTCAGCTTTTCTTTGTCTTTAATGACAATTAACATTTCTGAAGAATATAATTTCTGCCCCTGCCCTTGGAACAAAAATAGAACATGCCTCATTTGGGGTTTGTGTGGTGTTTTCTCTTGGTTAGGTTCAGGCTATGCATTCCCAGCTGGGGCACTACATGAGTGGTAGTAGTTGCTCCTCACAGCATCATAATCAGAGGCCCAGTCTATCCTTTGGCCCCTCATGGTGATGTTAATTTTGATTATCTAGTTGAGGTGGTGTCCCGTTTCTTCATGGTATAGATTTCTATTTCTAAAATACTTCAAGATCATGTAGGTGCTCTGTTCCTCACCACATTTTCTTCTAAATTTAGTGTTAGCTGATGCTGCTTGCCAGTTTTCCTAAGATTGTATAATAATTTTCCAAGTCCAGAGCTCCCCACATTTCAGCACTTGTCACTGGTTGTACTGTAAGACTGTGCTGCAATCAAGAGCCTTTCCCCTTCTCCCATTTTTCTATTTTTAGTATGGATTCATAGATTCCTGTATTTTCTTTTAATAGTTTAAAATCCATTACTTGTGTTGACATAGAGCCCATTCTTTTGTCTGTTCTATGTTTTTCACACTTTTGGGACCATAACCTACAGTAAAAAATGTTTTCCATTGAGCATATATATGTATATGTGTATGTCACATAAACACCAAAACAATACTTATTATGAAGGATGTTTTCTAATAATTTTCTGTTCTATTTTATTTCATTTTTTAAGGCTGGTTGTGATCAGTGAATTTAATTTGCAGCCCACAAGAAATTTAACTCATTTCTCTATGCTGTATTGCCATTTAGAGGTGGTCTTTGATTTCTTTTGAGGTTCCTCTTTCATTTTTTCTATCCTCTTTTAAACTTCTTGTTACAGAAAGTCACAGGCATATACAAAAGTAAAATGGTATAAAGAACCTCTATATATCCATCACTGAGCTTCATCAGTTACCAACATAGAGGAATCTTAGCAGAGCATTTCATCCAGTATGTCTCTAAAAATAAAGACTTAAAAAAAATACCATCACACCTAAAATAATAATTCCTTAGTATCATATATCTAGTCAAATTTTAAATGAAATGATTTTCACTTAAATGCTTTATTAGGGTTAGTGTGCTCAAATTAGGATCAAATAAGGCCCAATTATGCCATTGATTAGTTATCTTGTGCCTTTTAAAATCTGTACAGAGAATCTTATTTTCTTAATGCAGGTTCTTACTGTACGTAGACAGTTGTTTGTAGAATGAAGTAAAGAATGTGTTATGCTTTTAGGTTCGGCGTTGGGCTATCCTGACCGCAAGGAACTTGGGGAAAGTGGACAGAGATGATTATTATGACTTACAGGAGGTTTTAACTTGCCTTTTTAAAGTCATTGAGTTGGGGCTTTTAGAAAGTCCAGACATTTATACTTCTTCTGTCCTCAAGAAAGGGAAACTGATTCTTCTGCCCTCACACATGTATGATACTACCAACTACAAAAACTATTGGTTAGGTGAGTATTATTCCCCACAAGTACAGTGTTGTCCTGTAGTTCTTAGGAGTATTCTGTAATGGAAGTGATTTGGTAATCTGATCAAAATGCTAAATATAGGATTTAATAGTTCCCAGTTCTTCTATCATTAAATTGTCTTAACCATTAAACATCTTGTTTTTTAAACATCATTTATCTTAGAAACTGTCTGTGTAAGAGGTATGTTTTCAAGTGTGGCAGATCTTTTATTTAAAGCAATAATAATGTAAATACTAGTATAGCAGTTGACTTTAGTAGGGTTTGATCTGTTTTTTAAAAAGTTTAATAACTCTTTTCCCATCTGTAAAATATTTCCTGGTACAAAGATATATTAGCTTTGCTTTTCAACAAGTTCTGTACTGACTCAGAAGTTCTACCCTACTTCATAGATTCTAAATCTTACAGTCTTGTGTCATATTTGGCCGTGTTTGGTACTTGAAATATAGTGATCTCAAAATTGAAGGCATCTTAGATTTGAGGAAATACAAATTGTATGGTAGTCATCTTAGAAACTTCTAAGTTTATACCATTTTCCCTTTTTATTTTGGAGTCAGTTTGAAGTCCTGTAACTTGAGAGCAGTTGTATATGAGTATCTAGGATTTAAGTGTTTGAGAGAGTAGATACTGTTTTGCTTTATCTTCCTGCCTTGTTACTCTTTTGCCAGCTAAACCAGAGAAGGAATTAGAAGGGTGTTACTTAATCAATTCACAGAAACTGTAAATGGTCTTACAGGTATTTGCATGTTGCTGACCATTCTTGAGGAGCAAGCCATGGATTCACTGTTGCTGGGGTCAGACAAACAGAATGACTTTATGCAGTCAATACTTCACACCATGGAGAGGCAGTCAGACGGTAATAAACTTAACTTGCTGAGTAGTTTTGAGTACTGTGATGATGATGCACTTTTTGAATATTAGTGTCATGGCAAGAATTTGGGTGCACGGTGTGGAGAAAAGAAGGGGAACCTTTTACAGTTTAGGTCACAAATTCAGAATTTTAGGTCAGAAGGTACTTTTAAAGTTTAACACCTTACTTTCACAAAAGATGAGTTTGAAGCCCAGGGAAATATTTTACTTTCTCATGTTGAAATATCCAGTTAGTGGTAGAATCAAGACTACAACTTACAGGAGAGAAATTTCTGTAATGACTTGGAACTTATATTGTGGAGAGAGCTTCATCTGTCCTGCTGTCCCCCTTTTTCCTGGTCTTTCATTTTATTTTGGTTCTCTAGGGTTCCACTGTCCAACATGGTGACTGCTTGCCAAATGTGGCTATATAAATTAATTAGAATAAAATACAGTACTCACTTTTTCAGTCCAATCAAGCAACGCTGTAGGTGTATGGTAGCCATGTGTGCTTGGCGGCTCCTGCAGTAACCAGTGCACAGACAGGGCATTTCCATCACCACAGGGCATCCTCTTGGACAGTGTTGCTCAGGTAGTCTAGAAAATAAGGTGTAAAACTTGTATTTGTGTTTATTACTAGACCCAACTTTCTTTTGCCCATGGTTGTATCAAGCTGATCAGGGAGTATCTGTACTTAAAGAAGTGTTTCTAATCTTAACTTTTTAAATGAAGGAATGAGTCAAAAACCAAGCATGCCAGATCCTATGAAAACAGGACAAATAGGTTTTTTTCCCCACATTCACATCTCTTAGGTAATTTCATTATAGATATAAACTCATATATGGGAGATTATAAAAGAAATATGTAAATGTTACTCTCTTTGATCATATATTTTCTTGTAGATTATTCCTGATTCAGTTTATCACTTATTTGTTAACTGGCATTTGCTACATAAATTGTTCATTCCTTTCCTTGTGCGTTGCACATATTATTCTGCCCTCTCTGTTAATGCAGCTTCCCTAACAGACTTCAAAATATGAGTCACTTCTTTAAGAAACCTTTCATAGTTGTCTTCACCTAACAGCTTTCTTCCTTATTTGAGAGCTTACTAGACATATGACAGTGTCAGCTGCAGTACAGGTTTAAGAAGAGCATATGAGAAGGTCTAGACAAATGACTATAGTTTTAAAAAAAAGTGGTATCTAAGAGCCCTGAGGGAAATAAAGCAGAAAGTCGTAGGGTGACTAAATAACTGTATCAGTTAACTGAGTGAGCGAGAACACTTGCTTCGCAGGAGTGTGGTGGAAGAGTAGATGACCAGGAATGTTTGGTACACAAGGAGGCGTTTGAGCTGGACTTAAGGATGGATAGGATTTTGATAGGTGGTGTAATAGTAAAGGCATTCTGTCTTTGCTGTAGATAGGGTGTGATTGTGGGAGTGTGGGAAAGAGACAGAGAGTAAGATCTTGTAAGGGCTTAACTGAGGACTTTGAATTCTCTTGGAAGACATTAAGGAGCAATTGAAGGTCTTGGAGCAGGTTGGTATATTCTGGCATATCTGACAGAGAAGAGGGAAAGGACTGGAGGTAAAAGCTTGTGGGGGTAATAAGAGTTCCTGCCAGTTGAAGGAAAATTAGGAAACAACAAAGCCATGTTGAAGTATGGGTGGATGAAGAGTGTGTATCTCTGCTTACCTGTTAGCTGAGGGATATTAGTCTTTTGTAGCAGCCAAATAGCCAAATAACACAATTCAGGATCGTGCTAAACCAGAATTTCTTTTATCATGGGCTTTGTTTAGATCTGTAAATGCAGGTTTTTCTTTCTCTTTCCCTTTTTCCTTCTATTCTCCACTGTTGCTTATTGAAGGATCTAAAAAAGTTCTGGGAGAAACCAAGGAGCTGATTAGGAAAGTCTTCACATGTGGCAAACAGGATGAGAAGGTTGAGTTTACAAAGACTATCTCAGTATGTTCCCCATTAAACATTTCTTACCAAGGCATATGGTATTAACTGAAAAAATTTTTAAAAATTTTCCAGCTTTTAAAAACCCATAGCTGGCAGTGCTTTACTTTGGAGTACTTACTGCTCTGCCTTCAGTTCTGCTGCTGCCCAGATAAAGAAAGCTTCGTTCCCGATGTACTTGAGTGCCTTTTTCTAATGGTTTTGTCCTCTGGTGGCGTTGTATTGCATTGCAGATGATAGCATGGATCCCTTCTGGCCAGCGTTACACTGCTTCATGGTGATTCTGGATCGCCTTGGCTCTAAGGTCTGGGGTCAGCTTATTGATCCTATTGAGGCCTTTCAAACCATTATCAACAATGTGAGCTACAACAGAGAAATCCAGAGTATACGGAACAGCTCTGTAAGGTTAGTTCAATTAATGTGTCAGGATTTTAAAATAAGCTCCATAAGGAAGTCTCTTGTGACCGACCTAATAGGGTTTTCTTCCATTTTTTTTCCTTCAGTTCAGTAATTTCTATTTATTCTTAATATTTAAGGACCAAGTTAGAACCAGAGTCATATTTGGATGATATGGTGACTTGCAGCCAGATTGTATACAATTACAATCCTGAAAAGACCAAAAAGGTACAAAACATTTTCAAATTCAGATGATACTTTATTGCCTTAATACTGTGTAGACAGTGTTTGACATAATTAGTTGAATTGCTGATTTTATGATGTTTAGCTCTTCTAAATCAACTGCTGCATAAAGTCTTCCTGATTGAACAGATGTGCATGGGGGAGAAATGAACTCTACAGTACGTACCTCAAAATGAACTGTTTTTAATTTCTTGGGAGTATGTGTGTATAAACCAAAACAGGAAAGTTGATGGATAAATTTTCTTGTTTACAACTTGTGTGGGATATCTGCCATGGATGGTGCTTGTTCATCTGAATGTCAGTATTTCTTTCATTTTAGGATTCAGGGTGGAGATCAGCCATTTGTCCAGATTATTGTCCTAACATGTATGAAGAAATGGAAACATTAGCCAGTGTGCTTCAGTCAGATATTGGCCAAGACATGCGTGTCCATAACAGCACGTTTCTGTGGTTCATCCCTTTTGTTCAGTCCCTGATGGATCTTAAGGATTTGGGTGTGGCTTATATAGTGGAGGTTATTCATCATCTGCACTCTCAAGTCAAAGATGTCCTCAACCAACCAGATGCCGGGTGTGACAAAGTCACTGAATTTTTTCTTCTCATCTTGGTGTCAGTGATTGAGCTGCATAGAAATAAAAAATGTTTGCATTTGCTGTGGGTTAGTTCCCAGCAGTGGGTGGAAGCTGTTGTGAAATGTGCCAAGCTTCCTACCACTGCATTTGCACGGAGTTCTGAGAAATCATCTGGAAATTGCTGCAAAGGAACAACCATGATAACGTCTCTGTCATTGCATTCAATGCCATCTAACTCTGTACAGCTTGCTTGTGTGCAGCTGATTAGAAGTCTCCTAAAAGAAGGTTATCAGTTTGGGCGACAAACTGTCTGTAAGCGATTCTGGGATAAGCTCAATTTATTCCTGCGAGGAAATTTATCTCTAGGTTGGCAGTTGAGCAGTCAGGAGACCCATGAGTTACAAATGTGTTTAAAGCAAATTATTAGAAACACAAAGTTCAAAGAACCTCAGTGTGGCACTTTAGTGGACCTGATTCCTTCATGTAAAACCCCTCCTGTGTCTGACAAAGAAGAAAAAGAACAGATAGGGAAGAAGTCTAAAAAAGACATGAACTGTCTGAAAAATTCAAGCCCAACATTTTCTAAAGAACAATTGAAAGCTGATACATATCAGGTGCAAGAGAGCATATTGATCAAAGCAAGTAACAAATTAGAAGAGGATAATGGGCAAAGTTATATAAAAGATTTGAAACCAGAAAACAGTCTCTCAGCTCAGTTATGTTTAAAGCAAAGCAGTAAAAGCCTTTTTACTGGAAGAGCTCAGGATAAAGTTAAAATAAGTACAGGGGAACAGAAGTCTGTAAGAGAGAATTGTACTTCAAAAAATGATCCAGAAAGGGGATATGACAGAGGGATAATAATGTCAACATGTTTGCCAACTGACCGTAGCACTGATTCTCTGGAGATGTCTGCGTCAAGTGAGGATTTCTCCTTAAAGGATGATGCTCTTGGCAAAACCTCAAAAGCAAAATCTAAGACACAGAAAGATGAAATCTGTGCTAAATTATCACATGTAATGAAGCAACACAGGAAAAGTGCTTTGGTCAATAATGCCATCAATTTAGAGGAAAACTTGGCTGTATCTAGCATTGAGAGCTTTTGTGCAAGGAAAGATACAGGAGGCCAGAAAGGGGATGGTTTCTTACACAGTCTTTCTTTAGAAACTAATGGGATTCTGGATGATAAAAATGGAGGGAAAAAACGGCTGGAAAAGAAACAACTAAAGAGTGAAGCATTAGATAATTTCTCTTCTCATGAAAACAGTTATCAAATACAAGACCATCAAGTTGGTAATAAAGATTTGTTTTCATTTACAAAAATGACCAATACTTGCATGAAGAAAGCATCTTTGAAAGAGCCTATGACTGCACTTCAATCAACAGATAAAAAAATCAGCAAGAGTACCAATCTGCTTTCTTCTGACTGGAGAGAACAGTTTTCCAGCATTATTCCTAAGTCTGACACCTTGACAGATTCTCAGGTAGACAGAGACCTCCACAAATTATCTTTAATAGCTCAAGCCAGGGCTACTAAGTTTCCATCAGGTTCATCTCATAAAGGCTTATCCGAGCTACAAAGAAAGGTAAAAGATGATGAAAGATGTCATGAACAGGTTATTATTATTTCAGATTCTGATGATGATGAAAGAATTCTGGATTTAGAGAAACATGTTAAACAAGATAAAGAGAAAGAATGTCCAGAGCAGCATTCTTCAATACCTAATGCGAGTATGGAAAAGAAGCTAATTAAAGAAGAAAAGACAAAGTCCTTTTTGCAGCTTGAAGAATCTGATTCTCAGCTTTTTGAGTTTGAAAGTCCACTTGAAGTATTTTCAGTTTGGCAAGATCAGAAACCAGATAGCAATGGTTCAGTTCAAGAGGATGAAAAAAATTCATGTTTGACTCACATAGCTGACATCACAAGTGATTGGGGTTATGGTACAAATTACATATCTGAAGAGGTTATTAAAGTAACAGAAGGCATTGAAGAACATGCAGAACCACAGAGTGGTAGTAATTCTGGGGAATTTTGTGAGATTGAAGTAAAAAAACATAAGAGAAAACGATTTGAGGAAACTATGACCAAAGACCCTCCAAGACCTTTATCCTCTGACAAAAATGAGGAGCAATCTGATATTCTTAATGAGAGAAACCTGAATGAAGATGATTTTAAGAATGTAGACATAAGGGCTACAACTCCTGATTCAAATGTTCAGAGAGCCACTATGGTTCCAGTAAGGAAGTCCTCTCCAAAAGTTCGCACTTACTCTAAATCCATTAGGAGAGTCCCAGTTTCTAAAACTCCTAAGAAAGCACGTTCAGATACCAAAAAAGGGCAGAATAAAAGTTCAAATTACCTCAGTTGTAGGACAACTCCTGCTATCATACCACCAAAGAAGTTTCGCCAGTGTCCTGAACCAGCTTCAACAGTAGAGAAACTTGGTCTAAAAAAGGCTCCTCGTAGAGCATTTGAGTTGTCTCAGCGTTCGTTAGAGTATTTAGTTCAGTTACGTGACCATGGCAAAACTGTTGGAGTAATTGACACCAAAAAAAAGACTAAATTAATTTCTCAGGCTCTCCCTGTCAAAAATAATAAGGAACTGCTGACGAGTCAAGATCTTCAGTTGCGAAGGCAGGTGAGACCCAAATCACCACAAAGCAGACAAAGACTTTCTGATGAGAGTACAGATGCTGAAAGAGCAAGACCATGTACAGCACTGAATTCTGACATACTTATGCCACGATCAGATGGGTCAGAGGTGATTGCTGACGATAATGGAAAACAGTTAATTAGATGTGTGTCTTCTGAACCAGAACCCACGAAAGCAAGATTTATTTGTCAGGTGACTGACGATGCTTGCCTTCTGAACCAGTGTGATTTTGTAGCATTAGATGAAAGAATACCAACACATGACATAATTATCTCTACTTCAGAGGACTCTCTAGGTGGGGGTTTAGCTGTGGCAGCTTTGAAAGAGGGAGAGCCTGAAAAAAAGAGTGATAAAGAGGATGATATATTTTTAACACAACATGATCCTGAAGATATGGATTTATGTTCACAGATGGAGAGTGATAATGATAAACACATTGAAATAGTTCATGGAAAAGTTATGATTCAGGTAGAAGAAGATGCCGAACGTTGGCCTCAGTTGAAATCTTTGAGTAGCACAAAATGTAAGTTCAAAGATTGTGTCGAAACCCCAAAAAACCAGGGTGAATACTGCTCAAAACACTCTGAAGCTAAACCAGCAGATGAAGATTTATTTCGTAAACCTAGCTTGCCACCTCCTGCATCTAAACCTTCAAGACGTTCTACTGCTAAGGTCTTTAGCTCGAGAAGTACTTCACGAATTGCTGATCTTTCCAAGTCTTTGGAAGATAGCCTAGTGCTTCCACCAGCTCTAAAAAAGAAGTCAAATAGGGTACAGTCTGTTTTGAAAGGGTCACCTCCCGCCTCTCTGGTGTCCCAGAAGCTAGTGTGTCAGGTGAAGGGTTTATGCAATGTTCTTCATGCTCAGACTCCAAATAATTCCAGCAGACTAGGTCACAAACCTCCGTTTGGTGAAAGCAGATCTTTTTTGGCTTCTTCTCCAGTAAACATTCTCTTGTCATCACAGTCCATCTCTGACACCCTCGTTAAAGAGGTCTTAAAATGGAAATATGAGATGTTCCTCAAGTTTGACCCGTGTGGGCCTCCAGCAGATCATAACCAGTTCGTCTCAAGACATGTGCCCATCAGATTTAAAGATTGTGGAGATTATTTTGATGTTTTTTTCCCTTTAATAGTTTTGAATGCTTTTGAAACGGTAAGTGTATGTTTTAATTGTATACCCATCCGGACTGAAGTTGCTGCTTTTCTTTGCCGTGCTGAATAATAGCGTACAGTTAAAATAAGTGATCTCTTAGATTTAGATAGATAGACCTCGCTTTCATGTTGAACAGACATCTGTGCCAGACCCTGTTCTAGAAGCTGGGAACACAGAGGAAACACTTTTCTTAACTTGTGCCCTTCTAGAGCGTACAGACATAGTTCGGAGGTCTAGTGTGCCACGTCCGAAGGTAGGTAGTTCAGGAAGAAATGTTTTTTGATTACTAGGAAGACTTAAGAGGAGATAGTCTCCCATCTGCTTTTTCTTTTTTTTAGTGTAATTTGCTCCTTTACTGAAGTTTTCTTGAGGAGGTGGCAAAGGGTAAATTACACTGAACAACAAAAAGCAGTAAATCCTGAATTTCTGTTTATACATATCTTCCCGATTTCTTGCTCATCATAGCCCCTGCTCTCTTACTCAGCTGTCTCTCTTCACCCAGCACATCCCATTCTGTTCCTTCTCTCTCCCTTACTTCCCCAGCTAGGAATGCCAGATAGAATACAGGATTCCAAGTTACATTTGAACCTCAGAAAAACAGCTAATAATTATTTAATCATTCAGCTGCATTTTGAAGGATTTTTTGGTGTTCTCCAAGTAATAGGGGTTGGAAATAGATTTTTCACTTTTTTCAAATTACTTAAAAAAAACCAAAACCTGAGTATGCAGTAAGAGTTAGAAACAAAACGAGGAACACTGAAGTAAAATATTCATGTATTCATTCACTTAGCAGATATTTGGGTGCCTGATACATGCCAAGTGCTATTGCAGGCCTGGGGAGGAAAGTGGTGAACAAAACAGACAAGGCCTCTATGTCTGGTGGCCATTTCACATCAGCATAAGGGTGCTAGTGTGATTGTGGGCAAAAGGGAGATAGGGCGCTTCGGATTGAAAACTCAGGCAGCCTGTGTGAGCCATGGTATTCACACTTAGGGATGAACGGAAGGAATGAACCGTGGGAACAGTGTGCCCGGCAGAGTGAGTGCAGAGATAGACTCTAGGGGAAGATCGGCCGTACCTCAGTGTGTTGAAGGAAAAGGAAATGTATTGCACAGAGGAGCAAGTCTGCTACCTAGGAAGATAACCAGGTGAATTGTTAATTGTCAAGAATAACAAAAAACAGCTTTTATGAAGCTTTGATCTGCATCTTTAAGATGCACCTCGTGTTGAATCCTTTGCATCAGGTTATGTTCCAAATTTTAACCTCTGTTTTAAAACTTAATTATTTTACTAATGTTTCAAAAACATTAGAAACACCTAATTGGTTAGTGGTCTTTACTATCTCTACACAACAGTGAAATGAAATATTAAGTTAGTATTAGAAGAATTATTTTCTTCCCTTAGAAAAATTGTTAGCTCAGTGAACAGTGTACACAGTTAAGTAAGCTGGGGAACAAATTTTATTCATTTTGAAGCTTTGTTTTCCTTTAACCTTTATTCTTGTTGACAGCACTAATCCATTTAGAAACCATTCACAGCCCTTAAATTTAGAACAGATGCATATTTCTGATTTTATTTTTCCCTGAGGTAAGCAGTATTTATATATTCCTCTTTAAGATTTCCTCCTTTCAGGATATTTTTGTAATTGTAGCCTTTTCAACCCAAAATGGGCACACGTTCCATTATATACATCCACAGAGTTTAAAATACTCAAATACTTTTGTAAGTCCCATTATTAAAAACAGCCGGCACTCCTCACCCCCAAGTAACCATTTTGGATTATTAATGGATCCTTTTGATACTTACTTCCATATTTCTAAATAATATGCCACTATTGTGACTTCTTAATTTTTCAGTTTAAGGTATTTTCTATTAGTTTCCTGCTACAGGAAGTACCCTCTCTTCCAGCCCTGCCTTCACACACACACCTTTACTGTGCCCATCCTCATCATGGAGTCGTCCTGTCATTTTTAGGTATTTGTTGTTGCAAGTGTGTGAAAAGCTGCTGTAGCTAAGTCATGTATAGCTTCTTTTCCTTTTCTACCCCTTTGTTTTCTTTGGATTTGTTTGTTGACTATTTTCTGCATACTTACTATAACTAAATTAGCTTTAGACTCTTAGGTGTTTAAATCTCTTGTGATCAGACACTTCAGGTAATCTGTAAATCTCATCTTAGTTTCTGATGGTTATCCTGAAATCCTCTCCATCCTCATCCTGGGGCTTGCATTTCCATCCTTCCTGTGCTGAATCTCTGTCTCTCCTGTACCCACCCGAGTGTGTCTTGTCATCCCTCATTTTAGGAAGGCACATGCTTCAAGCTTCCTGAGGAAAGGATGTGTGGGTAGTAAATTTTGGAGCCCTGCTTGTCTTAAAATTTCTTCAGTCTCCTCTCGTTTTCCTTTAGTTTTTCTATTTTCGGTCTCATTTCCTTTCTGACTACTTTCTGGAGGCTTTCTCAACTTCCAAGTCTACTGAAAGTTTTTTTTTAGCATAATTTCAGTTTCATAGAACTTGAGGATTTCTTTCTGTTGGATCCTGTTTTTTCTTGGACATGGTATTTCTTGTTATGTAAAGTTTGTTAATGACAATTTTACAGCTAGTTAGGTTTCCGCTCTTTGCATAGTCCTTTATCCCAGTTCTTTTTTTTCCTTTTTTTTTTAGTATCTCCAAACTTGTCATGTTAACTCTTTTCTCCAAATGTCTGGTGATTTTTTGGTGATCTACTTACATGAGAACAGGGTATTAAAAAGCAGACTGGAGCATTAGTCATAGCAGCCAAAAGGTGAAAATAACCCAGATGCCCATCAGCGGATGAATGGATAAACAAAACATGATATATATCCATGTAGTAGAATATTAATCACCTATAAAAAGGAATGAATTGTTGTATGCTACTTTTACTGTTATACGCTACTTCTCAAGGTTCATGGTTGAACCTTGAAAATACTATGCTGTTTCATTTTTTATATTAAGATTGGATGCTTAGGTGTAGTTACCTATATTGTATTACATAAAAGACTTTTTATAAAAGCAGATTAACAGCTCTGAGTGAAAGGGTAGACTTGTTGACCAGTGGTGTTTTGTTGGGAAGCCCCATGCCCACCCATATGTCATTATCTTTAGTCTTTCTATCTCTTGATGGGGTCAGATTCCCCAAAGAAGGATCTTTAAATATTTTGCCTGGAAGGTTTCAGGCCTGACTGGGAGCTGACTGTGGGATGAGGGTGGAGGACAAAGGGAAGGGTCCCAGTATTGAGTATATAAACATTTGCTTAATCCACCCCCCCCTTTTTTTTTCAGTGCAGTATCCCTATGCTGCCTGCTATCCCCAAAGCCAGAGGCTGTTTGACCCTCTCTAGAGACTAAATTTCTGTAGTTGTTTGGGGCTGGCAGCAGGAGACAGTCTTCCTTCAGCCCTCCTAGAGGTACACATCAGATTGCTTCCAGGTGGGAGTTCAGCCTCTTGGACTTGATAAATTGTCATTCATCTATTTTCTGGCCCCCAAAATTCAGATATTCTTGACTCTTCTGTTTTCTTTGTCCTAATGAGTTAATCCTGTTTTTAAAAATACCTTTGGTGTTTTAGGAGGTTTCAAAAGGAACAAAAGAAAATGCATGTGTTCAGTCTACCATCTTTGCCTTTAAGTTTTCTTTTTTCTTTTTTTAGTACAGTTTAAACAGCATTGTTATAACATTTCTAGTTTATATAGGCCAATAATCATTGGTATTATTAAGATATTTTGATTACTTTTAATTTTTGTTTCTAATAAGCCATGGGATGTGGCATCAACTACAGCCCTGGACCAAGGCTCATCCCCCCTCATTCTGATGTAATTTGATTTCATAATAATGTTTGTTAGTGGGTTGCTATAGTGGGTATAGATTTAAGAAAAATCTGGTTGGTATCCTGTTTAGGACATGAAACATTATGTTTGGTTATCCAGTTAATACGATATATTGCAGATGGAATGGAATGACATAATGTAGAATTATCTTGGTGCAAAAGACAAATGAGAGCATATTTAATTTTTAGAAGTGTAAGTCTTTTAGAAATATGAGTATACTGATAAAACTGGTAGAATATATATTTTTAATCCTTGCATTTAACATATAGAAGTATTAGATAAATGTGTACTGTTTTTTCAGGACCAATATTTTGGTCAGCGTGGCAAATGCTCTTTTATCTTAAAATTCAGACTTGCTTTCTCTGCAGTCCTCTTCTGTCACCTGTGTGTGTGTGGTAATTGGCAGGCTCATTGTTGGTCATGGGGATGGGTACCAACTTTGATTCTCAGTACCCAAACTCCTTAGAGGGAGATTGCTCCTTTTCTTTAGCTGATCTCAGATTATAATTAGTTCAGCAAAGGAAGCAAAATAGGTTGATAGGATGGGAGACATTGGGAGGCTGCCCTTGAGACCCAAAAACCAGAGGAGAGTTTTTTTGCCGGTGGGTGGGGGGAGTCAAGAATGTAATACTTTGAGATGGGAACTGACTGTGCATGTATGATCAGAGAGATTAGGCAGGTATGGCTGAGTGAAGCTGTAACTGAGTAGTAAAGGGGAATGAAATAAGATTGGAAAAACAGTCAGGAGCCAGGTAGTGTACCACCCTGTTAGCTGCAAGTTGGGATTTCATTCTCAGTTCAGGAAGATTTTTAGCTGGTTGGTGTTTAGGCTGGAGGGCTGGTAATAGACTGTAGTTTGCATTTTTTACTCATCATTCTTGGTTGCTCAGTGAATAATCTGTAGAAAAGCAACTGTAGATGCAATACCTTTGTCAAAAGGCTGTTAAGAGTAGCCCTGCAGAAAGATGACGCTAGCTTGATTTGGGAGGCAGCTGTGGAAATAAAAGTGAACTCAATTAGGGATAAACTGGAGATAGTACTCAGATGTGCTGATGGAATGCATGTGGAAGTAGGTATGGGAGGGTGGGACTGAGGCTTTGGTTTAAGCATCTGGCTAGATTGTGAAGCTCTTTACTGGAGGGTCCTGAGTGTGGGCTAATAGATCTCTGTTCTGGAAGTGGCACTACAGAAGCCAGAGGGGTGTAGTTGAATGTGTCAACAAATATGTATTATGAGAACACCTCGGAACAGTGGAGGAGACTGAGACCCCCACTCAGTGGGAAGGAAACAGCAGATCAGAGTGGAAAGAATCGTTTTAGGTTTGCCCTTCTTCCATTCTTTCACTGCCCTGGACTAGAGCACTACCCTGATGAGCAGGGCAAAAAAGTCGCAGCCAGCTCATTCCAGCCAGAAGCAGTGGGTAGCACTGGGGTGGCAGTGTGGCAGAGCTCAGATGAGTTGTGTCTAACAGTGTCATTGGACCCTTGTTTCTTTAGAGTTCTCATCCCTGGCAGCTGGGTTATTGTAACCAAGGGAGTCAGAATATGGAAAAGAAAAGTACTAGGGTAGGTTGACAGATTATAATAGTCAAATGTTTATTCCCTGAGGTATATCCTCCCTATTATTCCCCACCCCGTTCATAAGCAGAGGCACAAAAGCCGGGTAGTGCTAGGATTTAGCCCCTTGCTCCCGCAGTGTGTGCTCCAGCTGATGTGCCTCGTAACCCTGGGGCGTATGAAATGAAAAGAGGAAAACCAGTCTCTCTGGGGTATAGTTACTAGAGGTGGAAAAGTACTACTGATACTGCTCCCACTTTGTTTTGATTAATTAGTATTTAATTTGTAATATGTCTTCATATTTAAGGAGAGTTTCTTATAGACGGCATATTATTGGGTCTTTTATTTCAATCCACCTGACAGAATCTGCCTTTTATTTGGTGTGTTGAGACCATTTGACATTTATGGTAGTTACAGATGAAGGTAGATTGCTTTCCACTACATCTGTTATTATTTTCTATATGTTACCCTTGTTTTTTGTTCCTGTTTTTGTCTTCCACACTTTTTCCACCTTTGTGGCTTTAATTGAGCATTTAGGTTTGCCCTTGATATTTTCTCTCTTTACTTAGTATATCAGTTACTCTTTCTAAGCTTTTTTGAGTGGCTGTCCCGGGGCTTTCAGTACATATTCACAACTAATCCAAGTCCACTTTCAGAGAACACTCTGTGGGCGTGGGAGTCCCTTACAACAGCAAAATACTTCACTTCTTCTCTTCTGTCCCTTGTATCACTGCTGTCATTGATTTCACTTCTGCAGGAGCATCTGTTAGTGCACCTATATACACATAAAGGTACATGATTAAATACACTATTGCTCTTATTTTGAATAAATGATTATTAGGTCGGTTAAGAAAAGAAACGTAAGTTTTCACATTCACTTGATCACTGATGCTCTCCCTTTGTTAATATAAATCTGAGTTTCCGACCTATGTGATTTTCCTTCTCTATGAAGATCTTTTAACATTTTTTGCAAGATAAGTTTAATGGCAGTAAATTCTATCAATTTTTGTTTGTCTGAGAAAGTATTTCTCATTCGCTTTTTATGGATAATTTGCAGGGTTCAGAATTTTATGTTGGTGGGATCTTTTCTCTCAACAGTTCAAATATTTTATTCTTGTGCAGTTTCTGAAGAGAAATCAAATGTAATTCTTATCTTCTCTGAAGTTAAGGTGTTTTTTTCCCACTGACTTCTTTGGAGATTTTTTTTTTTAAGTATAGTTGATATACAATATTGTATTGATTTCCATTCTATAAAACAGTGGTTCAGCAGTTAACACACATTATTAAATCTTCACCACAACTAATGCAGTTACTATCTTGTCAAAATAGGAAGATGTTACAGAACCATTGACTATATTCTCCATGCTGTACTTCCCGTTCCTGTGACCAGCTTATATTATGATGGAGGTTTTTGTGCCCCTTCATACCCCTCACCTACCACACCCACCTACCCCAGTCCCTCCCCTGTGGTAACCACCATTTACTTATTAGTGTCCACGACGTCTACTGCCATTTTGTTCATTTTGTTTTGTTTTTAGATTCTACAAATAAGTGAAATCATATGGAATTTGTCTTTCTCTGCCTGGCTCATTTCACTTAGCATAAAACCCTCCTGGTCCATCCGTGTTATTGCAAATGGCAGGATTTCTTTCTTTTCAATGGCTGAATAATACTCCATTGTGTATATGTAACACATCTTTATCCATTCATATGCTGAGGGACACTTTGGTTGCTTCCATATCTTGGCTTTTGTAAATAATGCTGTAATAAACATAGGGGTACAGATACCTTTTAGAATCAGATGTGTTGTTTTCTTCAGTTAAATTCCCAGAAGTGCAATTATGGAGTTGTATGGTATTTCTGTTCTTAGTTTCTTGAGGAACCTAAATACTGCTTTCCATAGTGATGGCTGAAGATTTTTTCTTTATCTTTGATTATTTCATATTCCTGCAGTTTAAATATATGCCTAGGTATAGTTCTGCTTGGTGTTTTCTGAGCTTCCTGGATCTGTGACTTGGTGTCAACAGTAATTTGCTTCAAGTACTGCTGCTGTCCCTTCCTCTCTTTCTTCTGGTGTTCCCATGGCAGGTATGTTGCACGTTTGCAACTGCCCCGCGGTTCTTGGACATTCTGTTCTTCTTTCCCCAGTTGTTTTCTCTCTACTTTTAGCTTTGGTAGTTTCTTTGCTGTACATCCTTAAGCTCAGGGACTTTTAACTCAGCCATGCCCAGTCTACTAATAAGCCCCGCAAAGGCATTCTTCGTTTCTGTTAGTGTTTCTAATCTCTAGCGTTTCTTTTTTCTTCCGTATATTTTACATCTCTTTGCTTACATTATCCATCTAGTCTGACATGGTCTACTTTTTCCATTAAACTCTTAGCATATTAATTGAAGTTTTTAAAATTCCTGGTCTGATAATTCCAGCATTCCTGCCATATCTGACTCTGGTTCTAATGCTTGTTCTGTCTCTTGAAAAAGGAACAAAAGAAAATGCATGTGTTCAGTCTACCATCTTTGCCTTTAAGTTTTCTTTTTTCTTTTTTTAGTACAGTTTAAACAGCATTGTTATAACATTTCTAGTTTATATAGGCCAATAATCATTGGTATTATTAAGATATTTTGATTACTTTTAATTTTTGTTTCTAATAAGCCAT